TTCAATGATAAGGTCATCAAGAATATGAAGATATCTTTGTTTTAAAGTCTGGCATTATATTAAAACAATCCCATTTATAATTGCATCAAAAAGAAATACCTAGGAATAAATTTAGCAAAGGAAGTAAAAGATCTATACAATGAAAACTATAAGACACTGCTAAAAAGTACAGAACTAGACACAAAGAGATGGAAAGATATTCCATGTTCGCAGGTGGGAGAATTAATGTAATGAAAATGGCCATTTTAGTGAAAGCAATATACAGAACCAGTACAATCCCTACCAAAATTCCAATGATTTTTTTAAAGAAATGGAACAAAAATCCCTAAAATTTATATGAAACCACAAAAGAAAATGGAAACATGTTACCTTCACACTAGATTACAGACTGACAGTAATTAATATAGTACAAGGGATGAGAATAAACAACACAGAGCAACGGAATAGAATTGAGAGCCACATACATATTGCCATGCATATACTGACAATCTATTGTATAAATGAACCATCACCATCATCACCATACAAATGGAGAAAGGAGCATGGAAATGTAAATTGGTGCAATCATTTTGAAAAATGATTTGCTTCCTTGAAAAACTAAAATTAGGACTACCATATGATTCAGCAATTTCACTTCTGGGTATCTATCCTAAAAATATGAAATCATTAATGAAGAGTTATATGCACCACAATGTTTAATGAGGTATTATTTACAAGAGCTAAGATATGAATACAAGGCAACTGCTCATTGATAGATGATTGGATAAAGAAGATGTGGTATATGTATGTACAATGGAATACTATTCAGTTATTTAAGAAAAGGTTAAATTTGCTATTTTCAGCCAAAGGAAAGATTATGGAAATCTATGAGGATTGTGTAAAACAAAATGAGAAAGGTAAATATTAGACAATTTCACCTATATCTGCAATATAAGGAAACAAAGCAGATGAACAGAAAAAAACAAAATAAAAATAAACCAGTGGGCATCAACAGAATTGGGGTTACCACAGGGGAAGAAGACACAGGTGGGAGCAATGAATGGTGAAAGGGGACTTAATAGATAGCAGTGGGTGTTTTGGTTTTATAAAAAGAATTGCAAAAAACTTGATCTAAAAGTTATGTTTGGAGGGATAATGTTCCTCATTAAAGTCTTTGAATACATTTGAGAGCTTCACATTTTGATATTTACTATCTTCCTTAAAAATTTCTTTTTTCACATGGTGATTACATAAATATATAATGAAAACTTTAATCAATTTCCACATGAATGGTTCCTGATTCCCTCCTTTTTTTTTCTCAACGTGCACTACCAATATGATGACCACATTCTTAACAATAAGATGATTTGGGGAAGTGAGGGATGCTGGCTCAGCAGATGAGTGAGACAAGAAGCAAATCTAATGACCCTCAGGAGGGAAGGGTTTGACAATTCCAAGGCGGATGGAGCAGAGTGCCACAGTTGAGGTTGGGGGGTAGAGGCAAGAATGATGCCAGGTCTTGGAAGTGCCTATTTCTACTAAGAGCACTGGGACGTCAGTGAGTGAATATAAGGGTGGGACTTAATGTGCTTCACATTCTGGAAATCCACTCTCTGCAAGATGCTAGAGAATGGAATACAGAGGTCCCTGAGTAAAAGAGAAAGGTCAAAGGACATGAGGAACAAGTGAGGGGGAAGAGTATTGTAGGTCATTGAGACTTTTTCCAGTAGGTCCAGTAGTACTGGGCCAGACTTCCCCCAGACTGGTCCCAGTAGGACCAGCAGGACTACGTGGGGGAAAAAGTAGTTCAAGGGAGGTGCTGTACGTTTTCATCTGAGCAGTTGAATAAATGATAATGCTGCTTACTGGCCAAGACTGAAACAGAGATGGTTTTGGAGAGAGAATTAGAATCCAAAGCCTTGGGACTTATTTTTCAATGAAGTGCAAATAGAGTGTCCATAGATAAGATACTTGAGAGGCATCTTAACCATCTATTTGTCTCCTAAGATATATACTGAAGTATCTACAGATGTCTAGTATTTACTTCAAAATAATTCAGGTGGGGGAAGCAGGGGAGTGAGTGGAGGGATAGATGAAATACAAGATTAGTGATAAGTAAATCATTTTTGAAGCTAGGTGATGGGTACACCGGGGTTCATTATATAATAGTCTCTACTTCTGTGTATGTTTAACAGTTTCCATGGAACCAGATGAGATCACCTAATAAGGGTGAGCAAATGGGGATAGGCCCCAAACTGGGGGTAGCAGTGCTAGACCAATAGACACAGATAAAAGCATAGGTTTCCTGGAGTTTACATTCTTTGGGGAGGAGACAAATAATAAAGAGTAAACAAATATGATAGATTTAAGTAAATGAGATAAAGAAAACGGGGGACGTGATAAAGTGTGCAAGAGGGAAAACACCTGAATGGTGAAAAACAACAGTTCAATGACGTAGTCATCCTTGCTACTGAACGACAGGAGACCAGGATAGTAATAGAGGTATTTTTAAAATCCTTTCCAGTCTACTTTTTTTTTACTTTTACTTATAAACAAATTTAAATTAGTAGCTATAAGCATTATATTCTAAGGGGAAATGTTTTAGTTTAAAAGCTTTTGTTCCCCTCCTCTCCAGTTTTTTTAACTCCAAATTTTGAGGCCATTATTAGGCCAAGAGTTTTAGTAGAGCCCATTTAGGATTGACCCTGCTCCCTCTTTTGAATCCCTTTTTGCCCTGACAAGCTCTCCCAGATCATCTGGGCTCTACACTCATCTTCTCTCCTCTGCCACAACTTTTTTTTTTTTTTTTTTTTTGCCCCTCTTGGGGCTCCAACCTCCCTCTTTTCATCGCCTCCCAAAGTGCTAGCTCCCTATGCAAGGCAATGCTTCCAGAGATCATAAGGCCCATACAGGCAGGATCGTTACTTGTGTTGTTCACTGCGATAGGATAGTAGATAGTTGCAGCACCCACAACTGTGCCAACAATTAGCATTCAATAAATATTTGCTCAGTGAGAGAACTTCTTGAAGTCAACTAGGTAAGTAACTTACATACTGGCAACTACAAAGAACTTGGGGCCTATCTCACATGAATAAATATTTCTATTTATAGATGGACAGTTAAGTTGGTTCAGATCATCCCAGATAACTATTTCCACTAAAATAGTCTTTCCCTTCGTTAGAAATACTTTCTTGGTGCAAAAAATCTCACGTGTCAAGAAAACACCCATGTCATTAACATTTCTTGGAGATATGACCTTAATTGATGTAGAACAGCCTTCCTGGGTAAACCCAACAACAAATATTCTGGTTTCCTCATAACAAAACAAAGCAAAAAAAAAAAAAAAAAATTCTCCTTGGCCTGAATTATAGGCACTCTTAGCTGGCAGCTTAATCTCGGCTTTTCTGCCAATGTGCTTTTAGGATAGCTTGCAGATTGCCTGCGTTCTACACAGCAACCATGGACACTTAACATTCATTAAATAATAATGAAACAGGAGGCCTGAATTTTTTGTTTCTCCCGGGTCTGTTCCTCACTAAAGTGACCTTGGACAAATCTATTCCCTCCCTTATGTAGCTGATTTCCATACACCCGGTTCAGGATTTTGTTTATATAACTAAAACTGTTCTAAAATCTTCCAATTACAAACAGTAGTTAGGGCCCTTCCTCCACTATCCTATGGGATGTCAGCTTGACTCTTCCGTTGAAAACCTTCACACACAGTTGCGAAGCGTTGTCAATACCTTCCAGGGACGGCTCAGACATCGAAAGGCCAATGAATTTGTGTAACTTGAGCCGTGAGGTCTGTCTGCTACTGAGAATCAGAAAATGGGTAACTGTAATAACCCCAAACCACGTTTCCTTAATTTCTGCCGTTTTTCACCGCATCTTAACTATGCAGAAACTGACATTTAGTTACGCCGATTTGGCAGCTGTCCCGACGACTGAAACGGTTAAAAGACCCAGCTGGCTCGTAGGACAAGCTGCCAGGACTGGCCGTCGGGCCCTGGTGCGGTTAGCTGTGTATTCCACACACTGTCTTTTTGTGTTTGTGTTTTTTGTTTTTTTCCCAGAGGCTTACAAAATACAGCCATCTTGCATCGGGCACCCCGGCCCAGGAAGGGCGGCGAGCCCCGCCGCCTCGGCCCCGCGGCCACCTGCACGGGCCGGGGCTCCCCGGGGTCGCGGCCGGCGGCGCGCCCGTCGCACCGCCCGAACCCCGCGGCGGGCGGCCGGCCGCGACCCGGGCGCGGATAAAGTTGTCTGCGGGCGGCCCCGCCGCGTCTGGCCCGGGAAAGCGGGAAGAGGCGTCCGTCCGCCCCGCCAGCTGCTCGCGAGGCCCCATCCGAAAGTGGGCGCGGGACGCGGGGCTTCTATTTACGAGCTTCCTGCCGGGCGGTGTTTTCAACTGGGGCGCGGCGACCTGGCCGGCCGCGGCCGCCTCCCCGCCCCCACGCCGGCCGGGGCGCCGCGGGGGCGCGCGCCGGGGACCGCGCGGGAACGAGAGCGGGGGCGTCCCCACCCCCTCAACCCTCCCCCAACCTCCCCCCCGGTGCCCCGGCCCCCCCGCTTCTAGCTGCTGCCCGAGACGCCCGCAGACCGGGCGTTCACCCGCCGCGCCTCCTCCCGCGGGCCCCTCCCCCCTCACTTCCCCTTGGCGCCCCAAACCCGGCTTCATGGGTTCGATGACGTATGCGCCCGGAGCGGGTTAGGAGTGCGGGGCCAGGTAGCAGGAGTTAAAACGGAGGGGAGCGGGCGGCCGTCTCGGCGGGAGTCGGAGGCCCCTCGGCATGTCTTTTGTGTTTGTACACACACCGCGCGAGGCGGCCGGAGGAGGGAGCGGGCGGCGCGCGGGGGAGGGGCGAGCGCGCGCCAGCGAACGGGCGCGCGGGGGGAGGGGTGGGGGCGGGGTGCGAGCCGGGGAGCGGGGGCGGGCCGAGCCTTCCCTCCATTGTGTGTGATTGGCTGGCGCGCGGCGCGGGGGCGGGGCGGCGTGTGTTGGGGGCTAGCCTCGGTGTCAGCCATCTTTCAATTGTGTTCGCAGCCGCTGCCGCGCCGCCGTCGCTCTCTAACGCCAGCGCCGCCTCTCGCTCGCCGAGCTCCAGCCGAAGGAGAAGGGGGGTAAGTTTCCCCGTCTGCCCGCTTCCCCGGAGCCGAGCCCCGCTCGCCGTCGGCCCCGGCCCGGGCCCCGGCGGTGCCGGGAGGGCCCCACAGCCCCTCCGGCTGGGCCCACAAACTTTTTGGCCCAGAAAGGGAGGCGAGGAGCGAGTTTCCCTCGCCCTCAGGCGGCGGCGGCGCCCGGCCTCGGCCCCACAGCCGCCGCCGCGGCAGCCCGCTCTCCCGCACCCGCGCCCGGCGCCCCTTTCTTCGGTGAAATCCCGCCCGCCGTCCCTTCCCGGGACCCCAGACCCTCACCACGACCCGCGCGGGCCCCTGAACTCCCGCTCCCGGGCCCCGGCCCCCAGTTTTCGGGCGGGAATGGGGCAGAAATCGCCGCCGCTGGCGGCCGCGGGGTAACTCGCTTTTTGCTGCCTCCCCACAGTTGTTGCTAAGCTTCACCATCTTGTCTCTCTTCTCTGGTCACCGACCATATTTTTCCCCGTTTCTCTCTTCCCCATTTCAAAAAGGAGGAAAATTTTTTAAAGGGGGACCTTTTTTTCTCCTTTTTTGGAGAAGCGGAAACTTGATGCATTTGAAATGCAAAAAACTTTTGTATTTTGGAGGGCGGCACGTGGCAGGGGATCGAGGATTTTCGAGCGTTTTGGTGTTTTGTCTCTTCGGAAGGGAATCGGATACGTTGAGCGATTGTTTCCATTTTGTTCTGCGCCGGGAGCCGAGTTTGTGTCTGCGCGAGCCGCTTCGGAGCGAGGCGGGCCGCGGGGGCCGGGGCCGGGGGCCGGGGCGGCGAAACCAAAAGTTTATGAGGTGCTGGGTGCGCGGGGCCGGCCCCCGGCGGTCCTCACCTGGGTGCGGGGCACTTTTTTTTTTTTTCTTAATTGCGGCTCCTTGGAGGACGGCGCTTTGTAGATTGCCCGCCGGAGGCGGCTGCTTGCCTCTCGTTTTTCGAGCTACCTTTTCTTGTCAACCTGACCGTGGAGGTGCGAGACCAGGGATGTTTTCAGATATTTACAGCAAATCACCAGCTGCCAGGCGCGGCGGAGGGGTCGGCGGGGGCGGGGGGGGGCTAAAATTTTTTTGCGGAAATTTGACTCGGTCTCTCCGGCTTGTGGTTTCGTTCTTTTGACTTGAGGATCGAATGTTTACAGGCTTTTTTCATTTCTACTTTAATTAAAGAAATGGGAGCAGAGACGGTTACGGGGTCTTTCTTTGCCGTTTGTCGCTAAGGCTTGGCTTTTTTGAGAGATGGTGGGTGTTCGTGCTAACGATTTTCTAGTACTACAGTTTGTTTCAAGAAGTCTTGTTTGGGTGGTAGGCGTAATCCGCACCTTTTCAAATTACATAACGTTACGGACATTTTTTTCTTTAATGGAGTTAATGATTTCCGGATGGGGGGGTAGGAGTTGATAGTGGCAGGGAAACTTGTTCGGTAGGTGCGTATGGTGACTTGTTTTTTAATGCTGTTAGGTAAGTGAGGAGGTCTCTCTACCATGGCTCGTACAAAGCAGACTGCCCGCAAATCGACCGGTGGTAAAGCACCGAGGAAGCAACTGGCTACAAAAGCCGCTCGCAAGAGTGCGCCCTCTACTGGAGGGGTGAAGAAACCGCATCGTTACAGGTATTTACAGGAGGGGTGCGGGGAGTGGCAGTCTTCTCTCCGGAAGCAGTCGGTGTCCTTAGACGTAAAAAGATGCGTGGTCAACTTTTTTGCTTTAGGAAAACTGGTTTTCCTCCTCCCTCTGAGTATTTATTACTGCCTGAAAGTACACGCAAAATTTAGTGTTCGGTTGTATTGAGAACTTAATTTTGAAGCCATCATTTTGCCAACAGTCAAAAGAGACTTACTGCCTGGCTAATAATGTTACTAGGGTAGATTAACATTCTTATTCAGCTGTTCGTTTCTAATAAATGTTTTTAGTAGTGACTTTAAAGTATTTTTAAAGATAGTACTGCTTTTGGTAAAATGACCATTCAGTGGAGATTCTGAGCATTTTAAGTAAAGTTTCCGTTCTTCGTTTATTTGAATTGACTTATTTCCTTCTATTGGCATATTGGGCTTAACTGCCCTGAGCAGTGTTGTTAAGGGCAACTGCCATTAGAGGGCAGAAGTTGCCCATGCTTAGGTAGCCCCTGCCAATGATTTTGCAGTTAACATACAAGCTCATACATGGGAGATAGAAGTGAGAATTGTAAATTTCTTGCTGACAATTACTTAGTAAAAAATAAATAAACTTTCATGTGGAACAAACTGCACAAGAGTATTCAAGTTTAATCTTTCTTCCAGGATGGACAGCAGTCAAATTAAAGGTATTTTTGAGAAGTCAAATGAAATACCACAGCATATTTGTAAATGAAGCTTGTTTGGTTGTGTTGGTAGGTTTTTACCAACTGAGGATGAACTAAGGATGCAGTTTGGGGAGGAGAATGGTGCCAAATTGAGACAGTCAGAATTATTGTCACTTCATTATTAGTAGACTAAAACCTTCCCAAGTTGTAATTCTAACAGCACTTACTGTGTGTGTGTGTGTGTGTGTGTTAAAGATAAAATAAAGGGAACTTGGCTAAATACCCTGCTAGGACTTCGGCGTGCTTTTTGCATCAAAGAGATTGTTATGTTACTCTGAATAGATGCGAATGTTCAGATCATAAATTGATAGTGAAATATGATACAGAACCTAAAGAATAGTTGAATGGTTTATATATGTATTTAGTGATTATTTCTTTAATGTGGGGTTGGTTTGTTTTTTCCCTTTAAGGCCTGGTACTGTGGCACTCCGCGAAATCAGACGTTATCAGAAGTCCACTGAACTTCTGATTCGCAAACTTCCCTTCCAGCGTCTGGTGCGAGAAATTGCTCAGGACTTCAAAACAGATCTGCGCTTCCAGAGCGCAGCTATTGGTGCTTTGCAGGTAAGAGGGGGCAGGAAAAGTGCTAAGAGTTTGATGTTCCTGCTGTGTGCTAGTAAAAATTCCATAGCCTTGTATGTGCTTGTATGATTTAATCACAAACCTGTGTGGTGGATGGTGCCTTTATTTTCCTCCTGAGACCTCAGAAAGGTTAAATTGCCCAAGGTCATACACATACAATGTAATGTAAAGCCATTTGGGTCACCAAATCATAATTTGAACCCATTTGACTCCACAGCTAAGTGCACATTCCTCTATAGCATTGCACTAAAAACAGTGTTTAAAGAGGGAGGGGGAACGTCCCTTGGTTTGGCTTATGGATGCAGTGAGACATTAAGAAAATAAGGGAGTAAAAGATCTACATTTGTAATTGGTTTCAAACAGTGACTTGTATAAAAGGACTTTTTGAAAAAAATGTCCTCCTGCACCTGAAGATGCAGGTGTAAGTAGAGAGTGCTTCTAGCTAGCATAGAAATGGGTATCATTAAAGAATTGTGTATTGATGTAAAAGAAGCAGTGAATGGTGGTTAGGATTGGATTGACAATAGAAAGGGTATGTATAAAGATCACAATGGACATATAAACGAAAGGATTTGAAAGCTTCTGGTTTGCTAAAAGGAATTATGACTTCCCACTTAAATGAACGTAGACAGTTGCTTTGATTTTAATCTTGGTTCCAGAGTATCAGAACTTAGAAATGTTGTTTTAGAGGTGGCTAAGTATTTGTCATTTATGCCCAGATTAAAACTTGAAATGCCACAAGATACTTGATAAAGAATGGTTATGATTAAAATCAATCACTTAACCTGTTTCATATTATGTGTTTGGCATTCTTTAGATCAGCATATCTCAGAACATGAGGTTAGAGGTGATTTAAAATGCAAAGTGTGAGGTACCACCCCAGAGCTTAATGAGAATGGGGAGGAGGGGAGGCCAAGTCCGGTATCTGTCTATACTCCGGTGGAGAATTTTCAAGGCTGCTGTTGCTGTGCCAAGCTTTTGCTTTATATGTGAGGAAGATTTGATAGGTGGATTCAACACTGGAGTGTAATTGGTTGAGCTGTTACTATGGTTAGTCTTAGCTTCATTTCATTGGTGGATTCCAGGAGTAGGCATCCATTAAATTCTCAATGAATTGAAATTTACTGAAATTTCAAACTTCTGAAATCTTTGAATGGTTTTACTTAAAATGTTATTTTCCATTCTAAAAAGTGATTACTTTTCATTTATTTACTAGAATTGCAAATTGCATTTTCCCCTACCTTATTTTATATAGAAACATTACTGAGATTCTCAAGCATGATATGAAGCTAATTTTGTTATTGAGTTACACTTAGCAGGGCTGTGCTTAAGAAACACAACATCCTGAAAGACCAACTTTTTTTTTAAGTTTAGGTGTCAGTGATAGAGCCTTGTAAATTGAGATCACTAGACAATGTGGGTAAAGAACTGTTGTCTTCAAAATTCCTGTGTAAATGTCTGTTGTTAATGTTACCAAGATGTATTATGTCTGTTACTAAGTATTGTATTGGTTTTGAGCAAAATGTTTACTCTGCTGCTTAGAGTACTCTTGAGCATTTGGTGTTCTTCATTAAGAAAAGGTGACTTCTGTAACAACGGTTTTTGCTTTATGTTTTTTATACAAATACTTCTCACTGATACAAAGTAGAAAATTTGTTAATGGAAGTAGAGTAGAACAGTTGAAATAGAACTGCAGAAATCACTTTATTTTTGACTTTAGAATTACACAGTTTTCAGCTTTACTGATAACAAAACAAAAAGCGTGGTAGTCCAGTGAGCTGGTAGAGAAGTTAATCTAGGTTTACAATAAATAATCAAGACTGGATTATAGATTTAGCCTTTGCCTTTAATGTCTGAGTTTGAACTAAGCTGTCTTTGTGTCAAGAATGAAATTGGTGTTTTGAAATGGTAAGAGACTCATTGAGTATGCTCAAAATATTGTAACATCACATTTCTTTCTCGTTGTAAATTACTTTTTTCTGTCACAACCTCTAATGTTGGGTTATAAATTAACGTGGTTGTCTTTAATTCCCATTTTATTTAGCCTTACGGTTTAGGGGACTTTTGGACATTGGTAATAGAATGGAAATACATGAGTGTTGAATTTTATTGAGGTAACCAGACACTGACATGAACCCTATAAAACCAGTAGCTACACTCTTAAGATAGTTGTGAGAGTCCCAGCTGCCGCATCATATCTCGAGTACTTCCATGGGATCCTGTGGGTGATACCACTTTCGGAATCTTAGGACCTATTGACTTTTATTAGCGGCTCAAAGTACTGCATTTTGCCAAGCTTTCTGGATTTGTTTAATCCCAAAATATGTTAGATGAGACAAAAATGAAACTGGTTTCTTTAATGAGGGACTTCAGATCCAGGTATTTGATGTATATTGTGAACCCCTGTATATATGCTTTTTACCCATTTCTGGAATATCCCCAAGAATAGAATATCCCTAAATATTAGGGCATTTGCTTTTAATGGTCTTTGGAATAAGTAATACGAGGGACTAATTAAATAGAAAAAGTACAACTTTGAATTAGGAGTGGATGTAGAAACAAACTGACTATTAAACATCTACTTCAGGGCAAAAAGTGGGTATAAAATGAAATCTCTATTAAGTAATATAAGTGCTGATTAAGAAATCATTAAAAGGTGGATGATGTCCATAGTTGATATGAATACCAGGGAGTTTGCAGTTCAAGATTACCTGTGTCTGAGAACCAGGGACAAAGAAGTACTAGTTTTATTCTTTGTGGAGTAGTCTTGAGCTCAGCTTTAAAAGGTAACTGGTAAATCTTGACTCTTGGTAACAAATGCTACAGAAAACACGTAAGTTTAGTAAAATTTGTATGAAACATTTTTATTTTTTATTTTAAAAGATTTATTTATTTGTACAAGAGCTGGGGTACAGGCCAGAGATGCGGGGGTAAGAGGATTCATGAGAGACAGAGTGGGGAACAGAACAGGCAGATCCACTGAAATACACTGCTGAGGGGAGCAGGAAAGGTCTGCTGCGCTATGTGGGTTTCTCAGTGCAGTGCTTAACCCCTTGTGCCACCAGGGAGGCCGGAAACAAATTGTTATATAAGAGATAAAGCTAAAAAGGATGAAGGTAAAATTTTCGTTGCTGTGTTAATGCTTTGAAAAGCAGAATCTTAGTAGTTTTTATTGCAAAGTCAAAGTGTTTGTAAAGCTAATATGGTCGTTCCCATCCCTCTCTATATGTTTTATGTATCATATAGTATTATGGGCTTGAACTGATGGGATTTTTTGTGTGCTGTTACCTAAAAATTCCAGAATGGGAATGATATTGGCGACAAGTAGAAGCTGTAAAATTTGTTTTTGGTTTTCTAAATGGGAGTTCTTGCTTTACCCAAGTTTACCCAAGATACACATTAGTATATTAGAAAGAATATATTAACATTTGAAAAGTTAAACTTTCCTAGTAATGAAATAATTTGAGTTGTGTGATTTGTTAAAGATTTGCAGGCCTAAATTTTTCACTTTCCTTAAGCGGCCTTCCGCTTTGTCCCAAAGTTTTAAAATGTAAACATTTAGGGCCCTCCCTGGTGGCACAAAAGGTTAAACACATGCCAGGGAGCTTCCCTTATGGTGCAGCAGACCTCTCCTGACTCGCCCACTGCTCCCCTCAGTAGTATATTTCAGTCGATCTGCCTGTTCTGTTCCCCGCTCTGGTGAATCCTCTCACACATACCCCTCCATGCCTCTGGCCTGTATCCCACTTCTTGTATGCATAAATAATCTTTTTTGAAAAATCTTTTTTAAATGTAAACATTTAGTAAAATAGTGTCTTCTGAGATGCTGTTTTTGTGTTTTTGCATTTTAAAAGGACAGGTATAAGGAGAAAGAGGCCCCTGCATTGTCACAGGCAAGCAGGAGAGCCCTTCTGAGGTAGACTTTTATAAAGGTTCATAAACTTTATTTTAACTGATAATAGACTTGTCTTAACTGTTGGGTAATAAAACCATTAATATTTTTTTCTTTATTCCTGTTGTAGGAGGCAAGTGAGGCCTATCTGGTTGGCCTTTTTGAAGACACCAACCTGTGTGCTATCCATGCCAAACGTGTAACAATTATGCCAAAAGACATCCAGCTAGCACGTCGCATACGTGGAGAACGTGCTTAAGAATCCACTATGATGGGAAACATTTCATTCTCAACAAAAAAAAAAAAAAAATTTTTTTTTCCCTTTTCCTGTTATTGGTAGTTCTGAACGTTAGATATTTTTTTTTCCATGGGGTCAAAAGGTACATAAATGTATGGTTGCAAGTGGATTAAACTAGAGACACAGGAATCAGGTATTGGCAGTTTTTCCATTTTCATTTGTGTGTGAATTTTTAATATAAATGGCAATGATATAAAGCAGTAATGCAAGTCAAAATGTTGCGGTGAACAAGTTTCAGCAGTTCAACTTTATAACAATTATAAATAAACCTGTTAAATTTTTCTGGACAATGCCAGCATTTGGATTTTTTTAAAACAAGTAAATTTCTTATTGATGGCAACTAAATGGTCTTTGTAGCATTTTTATCATACAGTAGATTCCATCCACTCACTCTACTTTTCTAACTGAGTTGTCCTACATGCAAGTACATGTTTTTAATGTTGTCTGTCTTCTGTGCTGTTCCTGTAAGTTTGCTATTAAAATACATTAAACTATACTTGCTTTTGGTCTTTATTATCAACCCATACAGTTGATTCACTTGAAATCGCCATATTTAAAATAATTTTAGTTATCAAGTGTTTATCACCTTATGTTTATACCTGAAACATAAGACAGTTGGAGAGATAAGGAAACACTGTTTGGTATGGAAATGAAATGATGGCTGCTTTTTAGAAATTTGCAGAAAGTGACTCTTGGATGTCATGTTATAAACCAGTAATTCCCCAACCTAGCTGGCCAATAGAATTACATGGGAATACTTGTAATTACAAGTATTACAAAGCAGTTTCCTTTGTAAGCAGTGAAAGGAAATTTACAAATATGCACAATACATTTGATTTTAATGAAATCTTCAGCTCAAAAAGTAGTATATTGTAGGTCTGGCTCTTTTAAGATGCTACATATAATTTTTTTTTTTTTTTTTTTTTTTTTGGGACACTTGCTGGCGGCTGGGGAATGAACTGGCGCTATGGGGGCTGCGGGCAGCCTCGCAGCCCAGTGCTCAACTGCTGCACCACCAGGGAAGGCCCCCTAAGATGCTACATATTAGCTGAGGTTAAGTGTCAATCTTTAATTGTTAGCACTGTGTTTTATTTAGCATTGGAATGATTAATGTGAAATAAGGAAATGAACAGTTTCAGATTTATATCACATCCCTAATGTACTGACACTAGTAACGTTGAGTGTGAAGATGCTCTGGAGGTAATGTGAAATAGTAACTACTCAGTGGACTAAAAGCAGACACCTATAAATAAGGTATAACATTTAATTGATGTCCCTATTAACCTTCAGCACCTTGGTGGCAGTAACTTCATGTTTGGGCTATAGGTGATTGTAGAATGTTTCAGTGAGAAAATTGATGGCTTGTTTCTAATTTAACATAGAGTCCTAGTTTTCGGTCTCATCCATTGTATGTGCATCTGTTGGCAGGTGCTGTTATTTGGAGTTAAGATCATCTATAAATTGTAATTTAGGCAATTAAAACATTGGTTACTGAATATCCCCTATTCAGTGCAGTTTCTGCAGTGCAAAGGGACAAATTTGAAGGCCTATTTCTAAAAAATTAGGGAAACTAGGTGTCTCCCTAATAGGGTAGGAAAAGTGGTTACCTGCTAGACTACCAATTTAATTATAAATAGAAGATACTATTTTGAGTTATCAGTATCAGTCAAGTTTTGCTTTAAAAGTTTCAGTTTTTATAAACTACTAAAATGTTTATTTCCCAATAAAGTGGTTGTGTTAGCAGTATCAAGTGTTCACTTGATAGCAGTTAATCCAGTAGTTTTTGAGTGTGCTCGTGTTCGTGATCCAGGTATTATACAGTAAGTAACATCTAAAATTGGGATGCTTAAGAAGTTTTGACACAAAACATGAACTCGCATTCATTGTAGGGTATACAATCATTGGTCAATGTGAGGAACTTGTCTCAGTATACTACGGTCTGAATAATTGACATGTATTCTCATTTCTATCAGAAGTGATGCCCTGAAGTTTGGGAAGAGGATAATTAGTTGACGAGGATCTACCCAATATGCATAGTTGTTTGGTACTCAGGCCTATTCAAATTTGCAGACCTCACTAGACCAAGGATCTGTCAGGTATAAAAAACATGAATGCTCCAGTTTAAGGAATTTGTTAATGGAGATGAATAGTGTTATGTGCCCTAATTTACAGATGAAGAAACCCCACAGTCACACAAATTGAGATGGGATTTGTTACCTAGTAGAAAATCTAGTACCTTGCTCATTTTAATTCCCATCCTCTAAGTGTGATATAGACAAATAAGCAGTTTAGCCCAAGGGGTAAGAGTTAAGAAAGGTCTTCAGGCCTCTCCAGTGATGCAGCAGGTTGAGCGCAGCCTCTACAGCGCGGGTTCAATTCCCGGCTGGCCAGGGAGATTCCCACATGGTGCGGCAGACCTCTCCTGTTGTGCCCACTGCTCCCCTCGGCAGTGGTTTCAGTCTTTGCCTGTTCTGCTCCCTACTCTGGTGAATCCTCCTGTGCCTCTGGCCTGTATCCCAGCTATTTTATAAATTGGGAAAAAAAAAAAGTTCTTGACAAATGGCAGTGGGGGAATGAATTAAGAATTAGGGGTCAGGGCCTCCCTCGTGATACAAGGGGTTAAGCAGCGTACTATGAGGCAATCTACAGCCTCTGCAGCATGAGTTCCATCCCCAGCTGGCCAGGAAGACACCCTCATGGCGCAGCAGACCTCTCCTGTCTCAGACGCTGCTCCCCTCAGCAGTGTATTTCAGTAACATCTGCCTGTTCTGTTCCCCACTCTCTGGTGAATCCTGTCACCCCCCACATCTCTGACCCATACCCCAGCTGTTGTATGCATAAATAAATGTTAAAAAAAAATTAAGGGGACACTTTAGAAATCAAAAGGAAACACTATGTTTGAAAACTTTCTGCTCAGTTAGTTGATTGTTTCCCCTTTAATTCCTTCTTGTCCCTCCCTCAACTCCAGTAAATTTTTTTTTTTTTTTTGTGGGACCCTCGCAGGCGGCCAGGGAGCAAACCGAACCAGCGCTGTAGAGGCTGTGGGCAGCCTTGCAGCCCAGCGCTCAACCGTTGCGCCACCAGGGTAGGCCCTCCAGTAAATCCTTTTGACTCTTCAAAAGTGCATCCCAAATTCCCATTTACCACTTTTGCCATCCTAGTCCAAGCTGCTGTGTCCTCTCTGTTGCAATGACTTAAATCAATCTGCATCCATCCCTGCTCATTCCCTCTGGCCTCTTGACACAGCCCACAGAGGATTGCCTCTAAAACATAAAATTGTTTCAGGTCATTTCCCCACTTAAAAATATCTAAATGGCTTCAAATTGCACTGAGTAGCATCAACATTCATTGGCTCAGAAGGCCCTATGTGATCTGGCCTTGTCAATCTTTTTCCCCATTGCTTGCTTAATACTAGCTGCAGCCAAACCCTCTGCCCACATACCTTTTGTCACATCCCTTGGCTTTGTTTCCTTAGTATTTATCAAGACCTGAAATTATACTGTTAATTTGCTTGCTTCTTTATTGTTACTCCCTCTAAAATGTGTTAGAACAGGTTCTCTGGATTTTCCATTGTACCCCAGTGATTATATATAGTAAACCTGAATAAAAATGTTGAATTCATGCTAGAGTTGTTGGCTTTCAGGTTTTAACATTAAGTTTTTATAACCTTTTATAACCAGTTACATGGTAACTGATTTGCTCTTTGGAGAATTATGTGAAAACACAAGGCCTGGCACATACTCTTCAATAAGTTCTGAACTAGCATTTAATATTCTGATAAAGCAGCATATGTATTGTTCTTTGCAAAACTATAGAGAAAAGGACTGGCCTCCAACTTAAGATTTAAGTAGACATTTTCTACTAGATCCCTACTGAGTAGTTTATGACTCTTGTGCCATTAAGCATTGGTCTCTTAAGAAATAGGATTAGGGCCTCCCTGGTGGTGCAGCTGGTTGAGCGCAGCACTGTGAAGCTGTCTGCAGCCTCTGCAGTGCGGATTGGATTCCCAACCTGCCAGAAAGCTACCCACATGGTGCGGCAGACCTCTCCTGTCGCGCCGGCTGCTCCCCTCAGCATTGTTTTCTGACGTTCTGCCTGTTCTACTCTCCGCTCTGTCTCTGGTGAACTCTCTCGCCCTCCCGTGCCTCTGGCTTGTACCCCAGTCCTTGTATAAATAAATAAATCTTTAAAAAAGAGAGAAATAGGATTCAGTGGGTATACCTTTGACATTACAACGTAAGTCAAATCAGTAATAATATAATGTGGTTAATTACTGGGTAAGGGTTTACAGTCAATAGGAATGCTTTATTTCATCACTAACATTCTTTTGTTAAGTTCTAGTCAATAAGGAAACATTTTTTTTAAAGATTTATTTATTTATGCATACAAGAACTGGGGTACAGGCCAGACGTGTGAGGGGTGAGAGGATTTGCCAAACACAGAGTGGGGAGCAGAACAGGCAGACCGAAATACACACTACTGAGGGGAGCAGCAAGGCTGGTCAGGAGAGGCCTCCCTGGCCAGGGATCGAACTCGTGCTGCAGTGGCTGCGGACAGCTTCATAGTGCTGCATCTTAACCTTGCACCATCAGGGAGGCCCCGGGAAATACATTTTGAAAAAGGAAATTATTTGTAATATAGCTTTACAGTTGTCTCTGTAGCTAAAGTGCCACTCCCTTTACTGCTTGCCTTTGGGCAAATCAACCACTCTATGCTTCATTCATTCATTCAGGATTTATGGAGCATCTTCTATATGCTAGGCCCTGTTGTGGGAATACAGAAGTGTACAAAAAAAAGGCCCCTATCCTCTATTTTTTTTTAAATAAGATAATTGCACTACTTATGGGGAAGCACTTGTATTACAATTTTACATTCCCCAAACTACTTTCAGATTTGATTAAAAGGTTAAACATAAAACACAAAATTAATGGAGACCTAAAAGGAAATGTAAGAGAATGTTTTAATACTCTTCTCAAAAGTCCCACTTCTATAAACCTAGAAATGCAAAGATAAACAAGAATAAACATATTGCAGCATTGTTTGTAAAACTAAAAAACTTGAATTTAAATGTCCATCAATAGAAGAATGACTGCCTAAAATCTTTTTTTTTAAAGATTTATTTATGCATACAAGAACTGGGGTACAGGCCAGAGGTGTGGGGGATGAGAGGCTTCACCAGAGACAGAATGGGGAACAGAACAGGCAGATTGATTCAAATACACTGCTGAGGGGAGCAGCGGACAAGTCAGGAGAGGTCTGCTAGGCCGTGTAGGTAGCTCCCTGGCTGGGAATCGAACTCATGCTGCTGGGAATCAAACTCGTGTAGATAGCTTCATAGGTTGCATCTTAACCCCTGTGCCACCTGAGAAGTCTGACTGCCTAAAATCTTATGAAGTGATATTAAAAAATATCATAGGTCCTCCCTGGTGGCACAGCAGTTAAAGTCTCAGCACTATCAAGCGATCACCAGCCACTGTGGCATGAGTTTGATCCAAGCATGAGTTCAATCCCCTGCCAGGGAGCTACCCACATGGCCCAGCAGACCTCTCCTGTCTCACCTGCTGTTCCCCTCAAAAGTGTCTTTCAGTGGAGCCACCTGTTCTGCTCCCCACTCTGTCTCTTGTGAATCCTCTCACCCTCTGCACTTCTGACCTACACCCAAAATCTAAGCAAAAAATAAATAAAATCTTTAAAAGACATATAAAAACAAAACAAAAGGAACAAATAAAACTAAACCAAAACAAACCCTAGAATTTAAACTGCAGAATTGAGGTTAGTATAAGGGGAGGAGAAGCGTTGGCACAAAATGGGTGGGAGCCCAGTGGTCTATAGTGGAGGACTATGGATACTTTGGTGGTGAGTATGATATGGTAAAGGATCTGAAGAGGTATGAACCTATTTCACTAAATCATACACCGTATTGTAAACCAATGTTACCTCAATAAACATAAAATAAAAAGTATGTCATCTTGGGAGGGGGGAGAAGTTATAACCACTCAAATCATTCACGTGTACACAAATATATGCACAGGCATAGGAAAAGTATGGAAAGATAGCTAAGCCCCAGGCCCCTAACAGTGGTAGCCTAAGGGGATTAGCATTAGTGGAATACTAGATATTTATCAGAGAAGCCACAAACAAGATAGCTCTGCTACCCAGCCTTTCAGAACAACAGGAAAGATTTACTGCTCTGTGCTAAGCCAAGCACTAAGCCCAATGCCCTGACATATTTCATTCAACCAACGTTTTTGCAGTGGCCTTTGATATTATCTCCATTTCAGAGATGGAAGAAGGAGGTTCAGAATATCCTTACCTTAGCTTCTCTGCCCAACCTCAGTGTCTTGGGCACATAAAGGGTTTTGTGGCTCAGCTTTGCAGAAATCGGCCTTTTTGGAACTCTCCAAGTTGAATCCTTTTGTAGTTACCAAGGTCTGGTTTGAAGCGGTTCCAGGCCATAGGAAGGGAACTAGCGTGGCCTTTGCTATAACCGTGGAGAGGACTCAACCTCCGTGAGCTCGCCTTACCAGGCTGAAAAACAAGGAGCACTGGCACAACATGAGGTGATTCGTGTAGCTCCATGAATAATTTAAAGATATATAAATTATAGACGAATTAGTAAAATAAACATTATGCCTGCGATTTTAGGTAGTGCCACCTTAAAGTCAATTAAAATCTTTTTTTATAAAGATTAATTTATTTATGCATACAAGAGTCGGGGTACAGGCCGGAGATGGGGGAGGGTGAGAGGATTCACCAGAGACAGAGTGGGGAACAGAACAGGCAGACTGACCGAAACACACTGCTGAGGGGAGCAGCGGGCTAGTCAGGAGGGGTCTGCTGCGCCATGTGGGTAGCTCCCTGGCCGGCCAGGGATTGAACTCACGCTGCAGAGGCTGCGGATTGCTTCGTAGTGCAGTGCTTAATCCTTTGAGCCACCAGGGAGGCCCCCAATCCCCAATCAAAATCTTAATAAGTAAATGATAGTATAGGTGATACTGGCAAAGCCTGGAATATGAGAGAAGCCACGAAAACGCTTAGCACATAGCTGGACACGCGCAGCGCGTGCTCAATTCACGGTTGGGTTTATTGGGACCTGGAATAAGCAGTTCTGATTTCGAGAGAAGGGAAGGGAAGTGGAATGGGGAGAGAGGCGGCCAGGATTTCTACTGAGACGTCACAAGTGTCAGGTAACCTCAAGACATCCCGGGCCCGCATCGCGGATGAAACGGCCCGTGGACTGACTGTAAGAGCTCGGTGGCGCCCCTGCCAGCTGAGCGAGGCCACCACGCTGGCTCCAAACTGGTCAGCAGATGGCCGCGCATCGGGTCCTTCCTGCACGTCCCTGGCGATCCGCGGCTCTTAGGCCGGAGGGGCTCGGGCCAGGGCCAGGGACGGGCTCCTGAGGAGAGCCGCCCCCAGTCTCGGAAACGGGGTGTGGGAAAAGGCGGTCCGAGGAAGGGCCACCGTCAGAGCCTGGAGACCTGAGCGTCCCCGATCTTCACTGCCCTCGCGGCGCCCCTCCGGCCCCCTCAGACCCGCGAGGCCGACGGTCTTCGGTGACTCTGGCGCCTCCTCCCCGCCTCTAGCCCCCCCGCCCCCGCTCCCATCCCGGCTCACTGCCGTCGCCCCAGTACGGGCCTTTCCTTCTTCGTGCGTTTCCGAAATAGTCTCCCGAGCGGGGCTCTCCTGGGGTGTCTCCTCCCACCTACACTCCAGCGCGCGAGGCCTCCCCAAACGCCGGCCTGGGTCTTCCAGCCTCCTTCCCCGCGGTGGTCTCCTAGCAACCGGCGCGTCGCCCCGCGTCTCTAGGGAGGCGGCCGCCCCCAGGCCACGCCCCCGGGCCCGCCACGCCCCGGGCCCGCCCCCGCGTCGGGGCCGGCGCCCCGGGACTTCCGGGCGCTGCGGCCGGGCCGGGCTTTCTGGCTCTGGGGCGCCTCGCGGCCCCGGCGCCGGGCGGAGACGACCCCCGCCGCCCTCCGCGGGCCCCGCGGCTCCCCGGGGCCGGGCCCGCCCTCCCCGCGGCTCCTCCCGGCCCGCGGCGTCCGCACCCCTCCCCGCGGGGCCCGCGGTCACGAGGAAGGCCCCGGGCCCCGACGGCCTGCGGGGCCGCCCTGCGGAAAACAAAGCTGGCCCCTCGGCAGCCCCGAGTGGGTGGGTGAAAGTGCAATTTTTACGAACAGTGACGCCGCTAGCATGTAAATGCTGCGTTTGTGCTTGACTTGGCTGGCGGGGAGCGGTCCCGCAGCCTCGCCCCTTCTGCCCCGCGAAGGCGGGCTTCGGTCTTTAAACCGCCTGCACCCGGCGGGAACCTCGGGCGGCAGAGCCGTGCAGAAAACACCAGGACGCCGCAGGCCTCTGAGGCCTCAGCATCTCCCATGGCCTAGGCCATCTCCGACAGCCCTAATCTCAGCCCTTGGGGTTAAGCTTTGTTATCGGGGCCTTTGACACCGGCGACCCTGTGGGAGCTGGGAGAAAGGATGACCCCAGTGGCCCCCGTCCCGAGAAGGCGCGTTCTTAGGGGACACTCAGGAGAGGGGGACCAGGCTAAGGCCCCGGGGTGGGGAGGTCAGTGGGGTTAGCATCCCGATGGCCTGGGGGTTGAGCAGGACCAGAGAGACCCAGTGGGGCTTCAGGATGGGATTTTACTTAGGAATCAGTCCTTTGGCCTTGTGCAAAATGATCAGTTTTGAGGCCAGTGCAAAGCCTGAGGTGCTTCCCCCTTCCCTGAAGAGGACTCCTAGTTCTGGAGGAGCCAGTTGTTGGCACCAAAGGTAGGAGGGCAGTTCCTGCATTGACCAGGGGAGGCCCAGGGAGGAGACCCTGCTACAAATACCACCTGTAGGCCAGCTTTGCCAGGGCCTCTGCACCACGCCAGCTCCTGCCCAGAGGTTTTGACCGGGACCATTTATTAAATCTGAGATCTTTCTCCCACCTCAGAGAATCACTTGGCAGTGAGTCCAGGAGAAAGAGCAGGTTAAAACACCCTCAGCAGAGCAGGAGGATATTTTCTGCAGGAAAGGTCACATCCAGAAAGAGGAAGGTAGCTCCACCCTTGGGAATCCCCAGAGCCTCCCACTCTGGGGGTGGGGCCCTGGGTGCCTGGGCAAGTCTATCCCTCATCCCACTCTGGGAAATAAGGACAAGGGCTTAGGCCAGAAGATTTCCGGGGACTCTGGAACTGAATATTGAAAACAGTTGACAGTTTAAAGGGGGATATTTGGCTTCATATCCAAGATGAACACATGTTTTTTAATCTCCTTCACCATGTGCCAAGCACCATGCTAAGCTTTCATCCTCATGTCATCACAGCGAGCCTGAAGAGTAAAGATTGTGTCCCATATTTTGGCAATAAGGAAACTGAAACTCAGAGTGATGAAATGACAGAATCCATGTGATAAAACAGGTCTGGATTTAAGCTTGATAAAACAATGAATTTAGATAATTAAGAAATATAGGAGGGGGCTTCCCTGGTGGTGCAGGGGCTTAAGTATCAGCACTGTGGAGCTATCTGCAGCCACTGCAGCACGAGTTCGATCCCCGGCCAGGAGGGTGACCCACACACCTCTCCTGGCCCAGCACACCTCTCCTGTTTCACCCGCTGCCTCCCATCAACAGTGTATTTCAGTTAATCTGCCTGTTTTGCTCCCCACTCTGTCTCTGGTGAATCCTTTCACCCCCACCCCTGCACCACTGGCTACACCCCAGTTCTTGTATGCATAAATAAATAAAATCTTTTTTAAAAAAAGAAATCTAGGAGATGTTTGTTAAGCTTTGTGAGGCATATGAGGACAAACATGGACCCACCTCTGGTTTAGGAAGCAAATTTCTCCCAACTGGCATAATTGGCATCCTGGTCTCTGCCATATCTGTGAATTGCCCTGAGCCAGTTCTGCTAGTGACCCTGGGGCTGCCCCTGTGCTTTCCAGCTGGCACTCTGCAGGCTCTAGCAGACCACAGGAGACTGCAAAGCTGGAGGATGCAACATGGACTTGCTTATGCTCCAGATGGATTTTACTTCCTTCCACATACAAAAGTTCTCCCCAGTCTCAATTCTTCCACCCAGCAAGTGCAGGGTGGTTGGTTCCGGACAGGAACCATATCGGGAGCATCACATCAGTGGGTTGTTGTACCTTTCTATTAGGTCAGCTGCTCTGAGTGACAAGCTTTGTGGTTAAATCAATTAATTCCATGGACATCAACCCTCTCTCACTCTTTTGTTGTTTTTTTTTTTAAGATTTATTTATTTATGCATACAGGAACTGGGCTACAGGCCAGAGGTGTGGGGGGTGACAGGGTGGGGAACAGAACAGGTAGATCCACTGAAATACACTGCTGAGTGGAGCAGCGGGCGAGACAGGCGAGGTCTGCTGTGCCGTGTGGGTCACCTCCCTGGCCGGAGATCAAACTCGTGCTGCAGTGGCTGTGGATAGATAGCTTCATCGGGCTGCATCTTAACCTCTTGCGTCACCGGGGAGGCCCCATCCTCTCTCACTCTTTATCAGAAACAGTGCTCTGTGGAATTTTAGGGCAGTGAGTAAGGCACTGCTCAAAGCCATGGATGATTATGCTTACAGAAGTGTTATGAGCAGGAAAGGCAAACCCATATCCACAATATGTATTGATAGGTAATCCTCTGGGGACAAACCCGTGTCCCTTCCATGATGGAAAGGGTCTGTTGTCATCATCCTGCCACTAGGGGGCTGGCTGGGCCTGCCAGGGGTCCATAAGTGAGGATGATCTCTGCTCCTGGCAGACTGGATAACAGCTGACAAAGTCAGTGTTGTTGTTGACAGTAAGTCTGCCCATAGCCTCTACCCTGCCGCAGCAGCCACTTAGTTACATGGGACCCCCTGAGCAAGCACTGGGGTGGCTGGGGAAAGAAGCTGCCTGACATCCCTGGAACAAGCTTTTTCATCTAAGTATCAAGCACCTCCTTTGCAGTGGATACCCCTTAGTGAGCAGTCACATGGGTCACAAATACCTTCACACTTTGTGTTTCCACCTGGAGAGATTCATCCACGTACCCCTTCTCCAAACCTCTTTGTCACCAATCTTCCTGTCATAGTTCTTCCACAGCCCTGACAATGAATCAGTGGAGATTCACACTTCTCACCATCTCCCTGTTTAGACAATGTGGACAAACAAATGTGCCTCTGAAGTTCTGCTCACTGGAAAGATTTTCTTTTACCACTGTCCTTTAGGGCCACCCTGGAGTGAAGCTGTAGGGCTACAGCTGTCACTGTCTGTTGGTGCCAGCATGTCATGAAGAACCATCTGTTTACCAGAACTGAGATTTTTCCTTCTCGGTCCACTGATCACAAGGAACTTTCTCTGAGGCCCTAGGATTAGGTAGAAAAAGCAACAAAGCAAGAGTCGCCTGTGAAAGCATCCTAGCCACCTGCTCCACAATCTACTCGTGCCTTCTGAGCCTGCTGGAGCCGGGTCTCTCAAGCTCCATTCCCTGTGATGAGAGAACGCTGCTGCCCTGCCTGACCCTATGGCCCGTGAGTAAGAGTGCTTGGTAAATGCATGGCCACTTGATGACTTCTGGTGAGGCTTTCAGTTTCTACTGGCACCAGCAGCGAACAGTTACTATCTGCAGAACAGGACATGGATTCATTCTGAAACCGTAGAGGTCTGTGCTGTGATTCTCCTCTGGTGCTTCCTGGAAACCGCATACAGCATCCCTGTTGGCTACAGACACTTGAAATGTTGTTGGACCTGCTGGATCCTAAGAGCCAAATGAGAGAAGCAGTTTGTACTGTTGCCTGGACTCACCACGGAGTCTTCTCTTGCTCTGGCCTGCACTCAAAAGTATTAGCTAAGTATTTTTCTTTAAATCGACTCCCTAGTTTTTACTTAAATAAATTCAACTTCTTTCTAAGCCATGGTATCTGAAAAGTTGATTTTCTATAGACATATAAATTAAGTAAAATAAATACTTGAGATTTCAGGTGAAAAGTTGTCATCCAAAAGCTGCCTACAGGGCATCCCTGGTGGCACAAGGAGTTAAGATGCAGCACTATGAAGCTATCCGCAGCCACTGCAGCATGAGTTCCATCCCCGGTCAGGGAGGTGACCCACATGGCGCAGCAGACCTCTCCCGACTCTCCCACTGCTCCCCTCAGCAGTGTATTTCGGTACATCTGCCTGTTCTGCTCTTCCATCTGTCTCTGGTGAATCGTCTCATCCACCGCATCTCTGGCTTGCACCCCAGCTCTTGTATGCATAAAACAAAAGCAAAAGCTGCCTACAGCACCCTGAGCGCTAGTCATGGCAGAGGCCACCTTTTTGTGAACCACTTCCCAGGGGAGAAGCAAGGCACAGCTAACTCCACAGACATTACGTGATATCACTTTACATTTCTTTTTCTTGAAATCAATTTAAATCTGTCTCTGAGCCCTTGACCACAAAGCTGGAAGGAAATTTAATTTCAGCTATTATTAGGATATTGCAACAGATCTGCCACCCCATCTGCACTTCTAGAACCATGCCACTCCCCATCTGTAGTGGGGATCAAGTTACCCTCCCTTTGAGTCTGGATGGGCTCATGGCTCACCCTGCACCAGAAGAGGCACCATGGCTCCTGCCTGTGGCTCTGCCGGAAACACCAGGTAGGAAATCTGACTGCATGGAGACGTCCTTGCTGTGAGGAAGCTGCAAGGAGAGGCCTTGTATAGGCGCCCTGCTGACAACAACACCCAGTTTTCCCAGCCCAGGTATCAGGCATTCAAGAGATGGGGTTGGGGGT